TTTACATGCGCACACTGCACAAATATAGAGTTTCTCACTGTTTGCACATAATAACCACTCTCCTACACTGTTTCTGTATTTGTTTTTTAACAGCAGAAATAATATGTATCCATTTATGGATAAATATACATATAAACCGCTGTGCCGTGCTGCTCATATTTATCACGCAGTAAAAATGCTCCTCCCCGCACCTAAAACCAGTTGTCTGATGAGAATCCAAAACAAGAACTGCACCATTTTACAAACGCTGAGTGAAAGTAGAGACCATCCGTAGTGGCCGGGCTGAGTGGCGAGGCCAAGGCCACGGAGGCTGTCCAGCCATGGCCTTCTGAACTGTCTGCTCCGCCATGGTTCCCTGAGCTCCCTGTTCCGCCATGGCACCCTGGACTTGCCTGATCTGCCCTGGAGGTATTTCCCGTGTCCCAGTCCTGCACCAGCCTCCAGGGCACCCACCCCAACAAAACTAAAAAAAAAAACGAGTTAAAAGCGTACCCAGCCGCAGAAGAGACACTGTTTTTCAAGCACTTTCCATGAGCGCGATTCGAGACGGAGTGAACACAGACAAAGGCTTTTCATTCATTCATAACTCCCCCGCAGCTGGCAACAACCCCCACCCTACCCTACCCTACCCTACCCTCAATCGGATCGATTAAGGTGTTTACATGAAGACTTTTCAGTCCGATTGAGCCGTCAATCCGATTACAAACGGATTATTTGGTTGCATGTAAACGTAGCCAGTGTTTCCTGCACATTTATTCTACACACTGAATTTACAATGTGAAACGTACAGAGGCTAGAGTAGTCTAATTGTCAAACAAATGACTCGTTCAAGTCAGTACTTTTGTGATTCAAAAGCATACAGCTCGACTCATATGATTTGGTTTGTTAAATCAGAATTTTGACACAGATAAAGGTAATTGTAAACAAATTAGCATTCATCTTCCCGTTTCATTTTATCTTATTTTTGTTTGAGGATTAAGTATCCTGAGAATTTTAAAAATGATGTTTGCTGTGGTTTTGTTGTGGGTGTATCATATTTCAGCTTTCTCACGTCACAAAAAAACTTTGAAATATAAAAATATATTTAAAACATTTGGATTTCCAGTGAACATATATAGAGTGTTCTAGTTATGCTTTGCTATAAAACATTTGATCAGCTATATAGACATTACTTTATTGATTAGATCAATTGCACTGTACATTTAACTTACGATGTACATTTCAACACAGCACAGCTGATTGTGTTTGTCTTTCTCAGCTCTTTACTCTGAGCCCAGGTTAAGCATCCTTGTAAACTCCTCTGCTTTGAAAGTGCAGTTTGAGACAGAAGGTTTTCCCAAACCTGAGGTGATTTGGCTGGGGGAACACAACCAGAACCTCAGCTATTACCTGGAGATCCATGACCAAATAGAAGATGGACTTTATTTCATAAAGAGCATCTGTGAGGTCCAGAAGGCAGTGGTTAATGTCACATTTACACTAAAGAATCACCTCCTGAACCAGAACCTGCAGAGACCAGTGTTCCTCAGCTATGGTAAATACCTTTATTTACTTTGTGCAATATGTGTGTGAGAAGGTGGCGGTTAGAGGGATGTTATTCATTACTCCATGTATTTAAGACATGTTTGACTTGCTTTAAGTGATTTGTTGGCATAATTTTCCTGCTATATAACAAAGAACTCCTTTGTCTGCTTTAGGCTGGATTTTAAACTTACCCAACCACAAATAATTATGGAAAGAGTAAGACAATTATTCAATTGTTACACTTATAGACATGATTTTTCTAGTTATGAAATGCTGATGTTAGTGATAGAGCCTCTGAACATACATCAAACCAAAATTTATTCAGACAGATTTATTTGGTGTCTGAATAATTTTTGGTTTCACTGTATTTGTACACTTTTTCCTAATGTAGAAGAATGCAAAAGCAAACTAAATTAATTAAGTGGTGTAGGATTTAAAGAGGCTTGGGTGTTGGTAACAAGTTTGGGGTGTAGCAGTTTTGTCTTTCCTCTGCAGTGCTGAAACTGAGACTGTTAATTATTTTGGCTACACCCATTTCAAAACCAGAAGTCAATTAACAGCAATTTAAAGCTGTTCATCTGAGAATTAATCTGTGTTTTTAGATGGTTTGTCTACATTAAAATCAGACTTACTGTCATTTACCCAAGTATGAGATGTTCCTTTATCAGCAATCCTATCAACCAGTAATATTTAATGGTTAGGTTTAGGGATAGCCTGTGGGCTATGGGCTTGAACAATCATTTCCATTTGATCTAACCCCTTGTAGGTTATAGTTTAATTGGCCTATCCTTAAGGCCTATACTTAAGTTTTGATGTTAATGCTTAGTATATAGAATGCAGCAGTCAGGGTTCCAGAAGTAAAACTTTTCTAGTAATTTAGAAGTAATTTTCTCCATATACGGAAATTGATATTTTTAACAATAACTTATAAGCCTTTAAAGACAGACCTACTGTGAGCTGTGAGGTTGTTAGTTAGTGGTAAATGCTTTTGTTAAAGCCATCAGCCCACATTATCCTTTACATAATCACGTTCAACAGCAGAATTCCAGGTGAAAAACTATTCTCCCGAGAAATCTCCACCAGTCAGATAATTGTGACAAGCGAATCATGCCAAAAGAGCACTTTAGTGCCCGTCCATTCCCATTAAGCATAGACATAACCTATAAAATAAAATAAATATTTGATATTTTTATTGATCATACATGTTTTGTTTTTTTTACAGAAATGGCAGATAAAAATTTATTTTTGTTTTTGAAAAGTAATTCCAGTGACTATTTAGGATCAGTTCTTTATTGTATTTATTTGATTGTCTTTTTCATAGTGCTACATAGGAATTGTAGTTCTTTCTTCTTTAAAGCCTTTAAACAGTCCTGTACCTGGATTTTTCAGATACTTTTTTGCTTCAAGTTTGTAATGTTGTAATGCACCACGTGGTTGGTTGGTTTGGTTTATTGCTTATAACTATTAAACAAAGCCTTTATTAAATCTCTGTGGTAAAATGAATGGGAAATTTACTTTGGCGAAAAAGTGGACGTGCACAGTTGCACTCTACAGTATTGATTGGTAGGATACTACTAGATATGAAATTATGTTTAGCATAAAAATTAATGTTTCCCAATCTGGACTGCTACATCCACCATGTTGGCTGTGATGTAGAGCAACAGGTACGTCACATCGCTACCGTAGCTTCTTTGGATAGTGATGTGATTCTAGATGCACACTTAAGAATCTTGGAGTAATGCTGCGCTCACACTAGCATGAACGCATGAAATTTCTACGAACACTACAACGTTTATAATATGAAGTCTGAGAGGTCATAATGTGACACCTATCTTCTATTGGTCACATGACTTAATAACGTGATGTGAATTCACCAACCTTGACCTCCCACCTTTGCATACGTATGAATGAAAGTCAGTGGAACAAAAAGTGTAGTGTGACCACCCCATAATTAGGAGGTCATCCTCTGTATTCAGACATACTGTACTGTTTTTCGCATGCTATATAGTAGGAAAGTATGCATATTCGGATGCAGCATTGTAGTCTCGACTACTAACGAGCTGATGAGTCAGGAATTAAATCAGGAATCATATTGTGGTGTGCCTCCAGGAACAGGGTTGGGAAACACAGATAATTAGCAGCCCTGGGTTTTTCCTAAAACATAAATATATTTCAAGAAAAGGCGTTGTGTCTTACTTGAAATCATGGCAGCTGCTTTGATATTTTGCGGTATTTCATTGGCAGATTATGATTGCAGCTTCTGTAGCCTAATTATTATCTGAAAATATTGTCCATTAGTGGAGACACCTTCTATGTCAATGGGCATACATTGAAACAGCACAAAGGATGTGCCAGTTTGAGTTGATAAAAATTCTGACTAGCCCACCAGTGTGTCAACAGGATCAGTGATATTAAAAGTTAAGCAGTATTCAGTTTATTAAAAAAATATTATCTATATTAAATATTATCCTGCATAATGATGGTTAGTTGTCCTCTGAGAGATACATATACTATATCCAGTATATAGTATCCTATCCTATATCCAGTGTGTCATAATAAGTTTAAATGATTTTGTGCAAGCACTGTAGCCTTTTTATATGCTGTGATTATAATACTGGATTTAGATTTGGATCTGGATTTAACCGTTGATTTGACAATTGGCACTATCAAACAAATGCCACATATTAAACCAAATGATCTTTTTCTGTTTCAGATGAGGACACCACAGACCATATGATTATTGTACTTGCTGTCCTCTCAGTGGTTTGCATTCTTCTGGTCATTGGCATCATTTGGTTAGCATTGCAGAAGCAGAACGAGCAGAGATCTTCGCTATGATGAACCATGAAAGTTAATGAATGGTGTTGGAGCTGTTCCCAAAAGGTCTGCATGCATGTTTAGACTTGTGCTAAACATTACTAGCCTTATTCATGAAATGCAAGCAGAGCAAATGTTAATTAACCTATTCTTGCATAAACGGAATATAATTGCAAAATGTGCTAATGTTACGAAATAATGTATTTCTAAATAATTTACACGTCAACAAATGCCAGAGTCTGTAAGTGGGAGTCATATAGATATCTGCCAAAAGTCATTTCCTAATCGTTTTACTGCTTTTTTATTTATTGACCATTGTGAATTTTTAAATAATTTTTTATACCAAATCCATCACATGGCATTTATTATCCTCACACTTTTAATTGTCAAAGAAATATTTAATATATTAACCACTGCAAAACATGATTCTGTACTGAACAAGTTAAAATCACTTATTGTGACATAAGTAATACACTGAACCTCTGCATATGTTTAAGTTTGTACTTTATACCTAAAGCAGAAATAGAACTATGCAGACAATCAGGTGGGCTCTATGCCATGCCTACATTACAAATCCAAGTCAAACATAATTACACACATTCTAACCGTTGCACTCTGTCCGTAAGCCTTTAGAGATATGTGTCATCCTAAATTTCTGTTTTCTAGTCATGTTTCCTAGCAATAAATATAGGGAGGGGACTGCCATGTTGACAGCTTTGATGAATTGAACAGTATAAGCTTATCATCAAGCTGGACCATGGACCATAAGTAATATGTGTGTGTTTATGTAAGGGTTTGTAAGGACAATATATATACATTACTTACTTTCTTCTGTGGAACACAAAAGAAGATATCTTTGAGTTTTCAGCTGTTTCGTCCACATAATGAATGAGATCCAAAACAACACTGGAAACCCCTGACTTTCACTGTATGGGCAAAAATACAATGACAGCTGAAAATGAAAATGAAAAGGACATTTGTTAGATGTAAGCTGTACATCAAAGCCTGTATCACTCCTACATCATAACCATAATATTGTTAAACTGGGTTTGATTTACCACTAGTATACTGAGGTCAAGCTTGAGGCACAGGTTACTTGAGAAGAGAATCCTAATACCTAAAAACTACAGAAGAAAATTGAAGACCCTGCAGAGACAATGTAGGAAATTCAATAACACCATAAAAAAGGCCCCAATGAGCTTGGGTATTGAAAAGGTGTAGTCACCCTTGAGCAGCGGGTAAACTGAATGTTTCTTTCATGAAACTCCTGAATATCTAGTTAAGTGGAAACTGTTCACCCAGTGGTAGTGATAAATTTCACAAACATGATTTGTTTATTCAGTCCATGATTACAAAAACGGGGTAAAAGCTCAGTGACCTTGGAAAAATGTTTTTTATGTTTTTGTTTGAATTTCTTTTACTAAACGTAATCTTGGCAGTCAAAACAATGACACCTTGTAACTTGAATGACGGTTAGACAACAAATCTGTACAAAGTAGGTTTTCAAACCAGCTAGTTGTATGACTCGCTTCAAACAATATCATTCAGAGTAAACTGATGCTGATGGCTGTTTTTCCCCACACTACATTTAGAACAAATCACAACCCAGCATCTGTTTATCCATCTGTTAGTTTATCCATTAATTATGCATTAATACAACACATACTCTAGCAGTAATTGAATTTTATGTGGCTGCTTATTAAGCAAATAAAGCTTGTGTTAAATGACTATGGCCTGATCAATGTTTCAGTTTCATCTTTTTAAGACTGGCTTTGTCTTGGTTAAAAAAAAAGGAAATGGGTTTAAAAAATAAATCAAACAAGACTGAATGCATTTCCTCCTATTTTTATTTTATTTGTTAACCTACATTATATGCTGTTGGTAGTGTGGCATGAGGCTAAATTAACAAGCAAAAAGAAAGTACTGTTTCATTCTTTTCTTCTGAGGTGATGTGAAGCATTTTTTTCCATTAATATACAATGGACCATTATGATCATAAACATGACCTCATGCACACAGATTGCCTGCAGCAAATTCTGCAGTATTGTATAAATTCATGAAGCCCCTCATATGTTTGAGTTATTTGGTAATACCTCCAGCTGTTTTTAGCTCTTTTAATTCATTTGACCATGTTTAAATCCTTTTAATCATATAGCATATATTCAGTGTCACTTTCACAGAGACATTGAACACCTTGTTGTATTCATACATTTATTTTGGACAATAAATGTTGTCATGGCTGCTATGACTGTTTACTTGTATTTTGATAGGTTTGAATATTAATATCACCATTCACCCCATTCTATAGTGAATACCTTCTAACATGAATTTAGTTCAGAGTTAGGTCTTTACCATAGGTGTGGAAGACTGTATAACTCACAGGCATTTGCTATACAAATCTGCAGATATTCAAATACAGATACTTGTAAAGAAGATACATTTAATATGATCAGTTACCTTGTTGAAGTCACCATCACTTTCAGTTTAATTATGTTCTCATTTTCTCCAAGATATAATAATAACAACAAGAAGGCAAAAACAAAAACAAAATATTTGTTTCTGTTTATTACTATATGTCCAGCATACCCTCTTAGTCCAGCTTTGTCCGTGCTTTTCCTGTCCCTTTAGAATTGCTCACTTGACACAGGTACCGGCCTGCATTCTTTGAAGAGGCATTTGCTTTACCAAGCTCTGAAATATACAATGATGTCTGAATGTGGTATTCTAGACTCTTGTCAGTAAATTAATAGGAAAGCCAATGAATCTGATGGGGGAAATTACATTTCTAACATTTTTTTACAAAAAAAGTCAAACATTTACATCACTTGCTTTTCAGAACATATAGGAATAGTTCAATAGAAAGAAAGAAAGAAGTCATGTTTGGAACGACATGTGGCTGCAGAGTAAATTATCGTTTTCATGGGGTGAATTTGGGGTGAATTATCCCTTCAAGTTTTAGTTTAGTAACAGCAGCACCCTCTGTACTTCACATAAAATTTTACACCGTTTACGAAAAATTAAATGTATACTTTAATTTGTAGCAGACAAACATGGGATTATTACAGGTGCATCTCAATAAATTAGAATGTCGTGGAAAAGTTCATTTATTTCAGTAATTCAACTTAAATTGTGAAACTCGTGTATTAAATAAATTCAATGCACACAGACTGAAGTAGTTTAAGTCTTTGGTTCTTTTAATTGTGATGATTTTGGCTCACATTTAACAAAAACCCACCAATTCACTTGTGATGACTTGTGCTCTGAATGTGGGAGAGCACTTTTGGAACAAAAAAAGTGGAGAACACTTTTGGCACATCGCCGTGTCTCAGTTTGAGGATGACTCTACAGTCGTTAGACCCAAACTTAAGACAGGAAGCACTGACTGACAGTGCTTGCATGTCACCCACTCGCTTGACCAAGCGGTAAGAGATAGGGGCCTCAAGTCGGCCGACTGGAACGGCTCAAAGAGAGGACTTCGTGGCGCCCTGTGGACTATAGATAAGTCCCAAGTTGGCACAGTATGAGGGCGATGAGGATTCAATCGCCGAGCTCCCCTCAGAAACTTAACGACTAGGTTGTTTCTGCAGACTGACAGGCCAGCCACGAGTGAATGATTTGCCGCGATGGCTGCCACATAGGGCAACTGGGGGGAAGGCATACAGGCGAGCGCTGGGCCACCTCTTCCCTGCCGAAGACAGACCAGATCATTTGAACCATTTGGGGATGTAGTCTCCATTCTCCTGGAACCACATTGTCCCTGGACAGCATGTCTGCCCCTTGGTTCAGTCTGCCCAGCACATGAACTGCTCTCAGCAAGAGGAGTTTGCCTTGTGCCCATAAGACGAGACATCGAGCCAACCTGTGAAGGGATAGATAATTCACCTGTAATTGATTAAGGCAACCACCGTCATGTTGTCCGAATGGACCAGGACATGGTGCCCCTGTAGGCCGGCAGGAAGGTTTTTAGGGCTAGAAAAACTGAAACAGGTGAGGAGTTTTCCAAGAGGCCACAGCTCTGATGCAGTGGTGGGTTACCTTGAGATAAAAACGTCCCAGGCGTCAAGCATGGGACAGGACATGGGCTTTGAGCCAAAACTGGAGGGGCTGCATGTGAAGCAGGCCCGGAGGAATCACAGAGGAAGCAGCCGACATGAGGCCGAGCATCCTCTGGAAAGCCCTGAGGGGACTTGAAGTCCCCAGTTTGAATGACGTTTCCTTAGGCAGGAAGTGGCGCATGACCTGCGATGACTTCTGTGCTGAAGTGAAGCTCTTTGCAAATCTGCCAGGCAGATGCGGGTAGAGGTGTGCAGTGACCTTCTCTTCTCTAAGGGGAGCTTTTGCCACATCCTCTTACTTTAACACCGTCAACAGAGGGGAGGGCGGCAGAAATAGAAAAGTGGACATGCACCGAGTAGGGGCGTGCCACGCCTCGGTAAGTTCATTGTGAACTTCCGGGAAAAACTGCACCGGTCTCTAGCAGGAGATTCGTTGACGACAGCCCAGCAGGCATCATTTGTCTAAACGGCTGCGGGCAGGCTCTTCCCGAGACGCCCATTCTAAGCCAAGATTCTTCACGGCTTGGTGAGAATGCGAATCAGTTCGCTCTCCGCCGGCTCGTAATAACCCATTGGGGAGAAGAGTGTCAGGATCCTCTAGAATCATCAGTGACAGCATTCTCCTCCGATCCACCTAAAAAGATCAGTCCGCTCCATAAGCGTCAACGACGCAACGGTAGAGACCGTTCTAAAGGGCACTACTGATGTCAATCTAACATTAGCCGCTATTCCACTATCGGGCCGAATGGTTCTCTTTGCTTAACCGTTCCATTCCGTGCCGATCCGGGCCAGTCAGCACGGATACAGTTTAATTTTCCACTGTGGTGCTGATAACGGAGCGCTTTGTCTTTGAAATGTAATACAAATGCGTCAGTCGTTGCCTTGGTAATGCAAGTGTAATGTAAACAGCGATATGGACGATTGATCAGATATTTCTGTTTTTGGGATTCCTTTTTTGTCTGATATTTACTTAGTTAAATAACAGAAAAAAGGACACAACTCTTGATGTGAAAAATAAAATAAACAGAAGGCGAGGAGGGGTATACCAACAAATGCTGAGGGGATATGCATGCCACTGGCGACGGACAACTGTCTCAGACATTTTTTTTTATTGAATGTAGTGTAACTGTTTACTTGGCTGTTTGATCAAATAGTGCCTCCTTAGCCAGCTATGGAGAAACTGGTAGCCAGGCAACAGAGTGGCGACGTCACGCACACCACTCTACCAGCATGGCTCAGCACTCCGGGCCGAGAACGGATCGTAATCGTGCTGCACTGTACCAGGCTCACGTGTAAATACAACTGGAACCGTTACCGTACCTGACAGTTCTTAGAACCATTCGGCTCGATTGTGGAAAAGCGGCTATTGATACTAATTATACATAAAACATTTTAAATTATAAAAAGCTATTTAAATATTTTATATAGGCTATTATAGGCATCTTGTAATTGATGTCAATTATCGTAACATTGATACTAATTATACATAAAACATTTAAAATTATAAAAAACTATTAAAATATTTTAGATATCTATGGCTGCACTGCCGTTGTTGTACCTGATATTCACTTTCATAGTGTTGTTAATGATAAACATTACTTTATACAATCTTCATATTACTGCAAATATGACAGAAAATTTACTCGCAAACGCTGTTCAAGTGCTGCATAATAGACTATGGAATGGAATTTTAATATAATTATCAGTGCTGAGTTTACTCTAAAATATCAGAAACAGGCCATTTTTGGTCATTTTATTGCCTATGTTTGGATTTTCTCCAAGACTATAATCTAGAAGTAAAGTTTAGACATGAGTGTTTTTCCTTTTTTAAATATGTGTGCAGCAGCCTCTGTAGCCTATATACTGTCTACAAACATTGTCCATTAGTGGAATTCCAGACAATTCATTGGCATACATTTCTAAAGGTTAACTAGTGTACACAGCACACAGTAAATGACATTTTAAACAGATAAAAATTGCTGTGATCTCAGACTAGCCCACCACTGCAGCACATTGTGATTACGATGGTGCAAAATTATCAATGTGGTCAGTGATATTAATAGCATTATTCAGTTTATTCACAAGTATTAGGATGCATCAAAAAATCCAGCATTTAGAAAAGTTTTGCAATAGTGCCTGCGTGGTAATGGTTATTTGCCTGTAAATAACTGATTGTACATACAGTAAATTATTTTCAATATATCCATATACTGTGTCCTCAATGTAAGTTATGGCAAGATAGTCATGTTTGCTTACAAACCAGTTTAATAGAATTTCAGGGTTTTAAAGCTCAATGCTTTTTGTAGTAATTTTAAATGCCTTTATGTTCTTTTATATTGTGAGATATAGTAATAATATCCATCTTGATGTGACAATCTCAAACACTTCTAGTCTCAGTGGTTTGGCTAACAGTGTGGAGGCTAGCTGTGTGTAAAGCTTTGCATGCATGTTTCATCTTGTTGCATTTTTGTGGTTATCACATGCAAAGGCATAGCTTGACATTTGAGCCTTGAGGGGGGGGGAGCCAAACCGAGCCAGTTGATTTGGTCAGTCACACTTTTAAACACACTTTAGCGTTTCCATAGTAAGCAGGGGGTTAGCATTTAAGGAGCATTTAACTTTTGTATAACAAACAAGAAAGGGCTTAGAAAAATATTGGTCATGCCATCCATGCATTACAAATCCAAGCCAAACCGCCCACATTCCAACCGTTGCACTCCATCGTTACGCCTATTTAAAATAAGCAACATCCTTCTAGATCATCTTAGAAACTACAGTATTATCTGTTGACCGTTTAAGGATTTTTTTCTGGAGCCGTCTGTGTTGACACAGTAAATGCATAAATTCTCTGTTCTCAATAGGCACTTGTCCTCAACTAGCAATAAATAGGGAGGAGACTGCAATGATGACAGCATATGCAACGGCTTTGATGAATTGTACTGTTTTAAGATAGTACAGCCTAAACAAAATATATCATGGATCATCAATAATATTTGTGTGTATTTAAGGATTCATGATATAAAGGCTAAAATTCCCACAAGTACACCATTTTTTTCTACTACTTTATTCTCATTTAATATTTAAATGAGCAATGCCCTAAGCAATGCCAGAAGTTTTATTTTGGAGTAATGATGGTTTGACATGCCAGAAAGGGCCATAGTGATAATGGCAAGAGATTGAAGGTTCATAGGTAGGACTTTATTTGTTTTCTTAATAGTAAAAACATCACAACAGCAAAAAGAATGACAATCAGTATTGAGAGAATAATGATTGTATTGCTTCCATATCCATCCTCATCTGAAACTGAAAAAGACACATTGTTAGATATAAGCTGTACATCAAAGCTTGCATCAATCCTACATCAAGCCATAACTATTGTTGAACTATAGGTTTAAATCATTTAACCCCGAATTGAAATCAAGCTTCAGATAAAAAACAAGTTATTACTTGAGGAGAGAATCCTAATAAGCTACCTGAAAACTACTGAAGAAAACCGAAGACCCTGCAGAGACATGTAGGAAATTCAAAAACACTAAGAAAAAATGCCACAACCAGCTTGTGTATTGAACAGGTAAAATCACCCTTGAATAGCAAGTGAGCTTATAGATTTTATTCTCCCAAGAATCCAGTCGAATGAAAACTATGCTCACACAGAGGTAGTGATACATTTCATAAATATAATTTGATCATTCAGTCAAAAACAAAATACAGAAAATAAAACACAGAAAATTCAGTAACCTGAGAAAATATTTTTGATGTTTTCGGTTGACTTTCTCAGCATTCAAATTAGTGACACAATGTAACCTGTAACCTAAATGATGGTTACTGCACAAACTAGGCTTTCAAACCAATCTAGGTGTATTACTTGCATGTAACATAATCATTCACAGTAACCTGATACTGATGAGTGCCCCCCCCCCACCCATCACAACACAGCATCTTCTTCCTTGTGTTAGCTGTAGCAGTAATTTTACATAATGTATTTCTAGCTGTATGTTGAGCTTGTGTTAAACCACTATATGGGCTAATCTCTGTTTTCATTTCTTCTTTTTATGACTGCCTTTGTCTTGCTTACAAAATAAAGTTGAAAAAAAAAAGAAGCCAGTGAGTTTATTTCCTCCCAGTGTGGTTGTCTTTATAAGACAGTGATTAAGATCAGCAACAGATGTAAGTTTGTTTTTTAATGTAACCAGTTCCTTTATCATCTTTTCTTTTTGTAATTGTAATCCTATAAGACTGCTTTTCCGTTTAAGTGGTAATGTGGTATGAGGCTGAATTAACCAGCAAAACCGGTTAAAAACATACTGATTCATTCTTTTCTTCTAGAATCTGTGCCTGCAGAAAATTCTGCAGAATTGTATTCAGAATTAAATTCACAAAGTCCCTCACATGTTTGGGCAGTTCGGTAATACCTCCAGCTCAGTGGGGTGCGGTAGTGTTCTAAAATGAAGCGGCAAAGTCCTTTTAAAAAAAAAAAAAAAAAAAAAGTAAATTCCTGTCCCAGTCACATGTTCTTGGTTAAATAAACATTACTTACACAACCAGAAAAAAATTACATTTTATATTTTTACTTTAAAAATATACTCAGTATCCTGTTTATTAAAGCGAAGTATGAATCTCATCAAGTTAAGTGTTTTTAAGCATTTCACATTTATTCCAAAATAATAACTGAAGGCAGTAACAATTTAAACATACTTTATTTGTGAACTTATGTTCAGCTATTCTTTTTAATAGTTAACTTTTAACTATTTTTGAATTATTTCGGTTAATCAGTAGGCTAATCAAAGCTCGGTAAATATTGTCACAGACACAGATTTACTTTAAATTTTACCAAGCTGATTACTCACTAAACTCCCACAGATCATGTTTTCAGGCCATTTTAAGTCTCATTTTGATGTAACAAAGTGATTATATATCTAAGTATGTGAGTTGTTTACTTACTTTTTTAAATTAGTCTTCACATTAATAACATATTCATTCAGACTGATTCGCGAACGCAGAACGCGCATGAACACAAGAGGCGGGATTTATCGCATGAACCAATCACAGCCAAACATAACCAGTCAGATCCAATCTTGATGTAGCAATTAGGTGCTTGAAGCACGGCTACAGACGGCAGAGTAGTATGGGATTACATCTCTGCCACAATTCTGCGTGGGAAAGATCATATTTTGAGCGCGTAAAAGTGCGTTTTGCACGCACGCAAACTGAGTTTTGTGGAGAAAATGTTTGTCTCACAAAGAAGAAAGTATTTTGAGCGCACAAAAATCTATTTTGCATTTAAAATAAGTTTTTTGATGTGGGCAGACCTTCTCTTTTGCACGTGCAACGTTTCACTAGCTTGCTCACCTGATGCCCGCCCTCAGTGCTCTCTAAATCCCATCAGCTTGCTTGCTCAACACAACCCAGTGTTACAATATGCCACAATTCCAGCCAATCAGAGACGAGGCTGCTAAATTCTGATTGGCTGCCTTGACAACCAATCACAACATTCCTTGCATTACCTCGACAGCAGAAGAGGAAAAATACAGTGCATGCATAATTATTATGCAAGTTGATATTCTGATCATATTTTTTTCCAAGCACATTTGACCAATTCCAAACAACATCAATCTTAATAACTACTACTAATCTTGTATTTAATAATTTATAATTGATATATAATTATTCATGAAGGCTGGAAGTGAAAAATGTCTTATATTCAGGTGTGCATATTTATTAAGCAGATGTTCTTTTACAGATAAAATGAGCCAAAAAAGAGATTTAACTCAGAAAATTGCAACGTTAATGCATAACCATTGGACAGAAAAATGCTCAGTGGGTCAGCAGGGTCAGTCAAAAACATGTGGAGAAGAAAAGATACATGTTAACCGCAAAAGAATTAGGAATTAAGGTGAAGAATTAGGTGTGAAATCACCAGGAACCATTTAGTCTCCAGCGCCACCATTTTCCAGAACTGCAACCTACCTGGAGTCTCCAGAAGTACAGGTGTCAGGTTCTCAGAGACTTAGGTTAAGTATAGAATGCTAAAAAATGACCCCTACCTTCGCACGTGAGTTTAAAATATTCTAGCTGAGCCCCCAGCGTGACTTGATTTATACCGGGTGACGGGCGCCGCTATGTTAGTTCGCGCTGAATCCGAGCTGTGGGATTTACAACACGCAAATTCATCCTCTCCTACCGAAACACGTTAAAGTAGGTCTCCGGTAAACTGGGAGAAGAGCAGAGTAAACTTTATAGTTACCTACACAATCTGTCAAAATAGATTTTCGTGCGCTCGAAATACTTTTTTCTCTGCGAAACGAACATAATCTCAACAAAACTCAAGTGCAAAATGCACTTTTGTGCTCTCAAAATATGATCTTTCGCACGCAGAATTGTGGCAGAGATCTAAGCCTATAGTAGAGTAGCCGCTTGCAGTCGGGTGCTCAGCGCGTCCGAGCGAAAGCGGATTTAAATTCAGCAATTGATGATGTGACGCACTGAAAGTTCTAATCACACCGGTGTGATCGTACGCTTCAGGGACCAGCCAAGACTGA